CTTCTTGGGGGGAACTCCCATCCTGTTTTCCGAACTCTTGGACAGCGATGCTCTCAAGCGGTGGGTCCGTCTTCTCAGACGGTAGCCAACTCACGGACTCCTATGCTAACTTGTTATGTGAACTTACTCCATTATGTGAGATTCTGTCTGTGCTCAGTTATGCATATCACTGATTGATATTGATGCCAGCTTTGTCGCAAACGTTTTAAACAAAGTGGGAACGGGCTCCAGCGTCACTTGCTTTGTTCTGAGGGACCTGAATTTAATTGATATGTTATGCTAGATTTTGTCTGTGCTCAGTTACGTAAGCTGCTGGGTCTGTTAGTCTTCACTGCTCAGTCATGTTCGCACTGCTTAGTAGTCAGTTATGCGGACTTAATGCACAAGTGTGCATTGGTTTGCTATGCTGCAGCTGGATGATTTGGACCATCTCAGATCGAGACCTACTGTTGCAGCTGATCACACGAAAACAATACCTTGCTCTGTCCGGGCGACACCAAGCCAAAATGTTCGATGCAGGGGTGATTGCCATCCCCCACCTTATTTATTTTGTATTTTGTAATCCAAATAATCATCCATAGTGGAACTCCTACGGAAGGATTGGAGCCAAGCCGAAAATGATTAAAACCAATCTCTGCACTAGAACGACTGGGGCTTGTGATCAACAGGTTCTCAAACTACAGTTAACGCTCCTCAGAAGGATCAGAGAGCCAATCCAGAAAGTTCACCCCAAGGATGTTCTCTCATTAGTCAAGAAGAGAAGTTTGGGGACGGAAGGCGATCAGAAAAAAGGAGTTTGTGTCCATATTCATTACCAAGAGGTCATAGTGTTTGCTATAATGCTCTTAGTATCTGTGGCCGAGTTGCAAACACTCATCTTGCAGAGCAAGATTAGCCTCACCGAGGGTGGGTATGGAGATCAAGAAAACAAATTCCACATGTCAAATTCACAAAATGAGAATGCAGAAGCTAGTGTCTAATGATGTAATATTTTATTCTGACTTGCCGGTGGAATAGGAACCGGACTGCCGGCTTATTCTGAGGGGGGGAGGTAGTGTCTCATACGAACTCGCCATAATTCCTGCTCTTTCAATCCCATCTCTGCCAACTGTCCACAGGTGGAGCTTCTGAGCCGGCTTCATCATGTCCACCTTGTGAAGCTGATCGGGTATTGTGCTGAACGCAACGAAAGGCTGCTGGTTTATGAGTTCTTGCCAAATGGTACTCTGAGAGAGCATCTAAATGGTATGTACAATTTCACTCTTTGTGTTGTTGTTATTGTTGTTGTCCGCCAATTATGATCGCCACCAACATTGCCCCCGTTTCTGCAACAGCCATGTGCCTGCACCGCTATCACCACCACCACTGACATCATCACCAACATCATCATCCGAAGAGGATGAAAAGCGTTCCTAGTACTTCCTAGTTGTTGTTTCTTTTTGTGTGGAATTGCGTGGTTGGGCCTTGAATAGTTTTTTTTTTTGTGGAATTGACTAGGGGGAGGATGAAAGCGTTTCTACTACTTCCTAAGAGGATGGCATTCCAGAAGCGTTTTTTTTTTTTTTTTTKTTWTTTTGGAATTGCCCGGTTGGGCCTTGAATAAAGGGCAAACACTCAGCAGTTGCCTTGCAGCACTAGGTGGGCAGTTTCACTAAATTTGATCATGAAAGGAAAGACGGTCAGTGAGGTCAGTTGGGCGATTGGAGACCCCTCAGGGTATTTCTTCATTGTTGCCTGTTCAAGCTTAGTTGAATGCCTGATCCTCCCACAGTGTATACTCCCCTCCATCCACCCCACTCTCCATCCATCACTAAGCACCCTTCCATGAACAGTGTAATTGTGTCCGATATAGTTGTTGTGTTCAGGCTCTGAACATCTGGATTGGAACCTTCATTTTCCTTCTGTCTTGCAAAGTTTCTCCCCGCTTTAATCCATTACAGGAGAAATATCTGCGTTTTTTCTTCCTTTTGGCCATAGTGAGTAGGAATCCGCCTTTAGGGAGCTGGATCTGATCATTGATGTGTGCTCCACCTCTTTTGTCCACCTCTTCAACTTCCATTTCTTTGGTTTCATTCCATGAAGAATTCGTTCTTTGTTGAGTTGCACTCTCACTATTGGCTGAGAGACTGCGCATGCTTGGACGTAATAACGCAGTCCTCCAAACCCTGAATGATGAACATTTGGGTTGCAGAAGATTTGTCATCCATATAAAGAAGAGGGAAAAGTGAATCTTCTCTCTCTCTCTCTCTCTCTCTCTCTCTCTCTCTCTCTCTCTCTCTCTCTCTCTCTCTCTCTATCTCTCTCTCCCTCACTCCTTCCCTCCCTGCCCCTTTCTTCTGTGTGTGTGTGTGTGTTAACCCTTGTGTGTGTGTGTGTGTGCGCGCGCGTGCGCGGAGACATGGGGGCGTGAGATCTCGATCTCCCCTTAAACGCTTTTAGTTTACTCTGCAGCCTGTAGATATGTCATCAGTGCAGGGCTGTCCATCAGTATCGTGGTTGTGATTTCCTCGACTCGTAAGACTTCAGTCTGCGATCCATCCATCTGTAAGCGCTGACAGTGTGAGGTGTGCATGTTCGGTTTTTGTCATAATTACATTTTGTTTTTGATATGATATGCCTTTGCAAGTTTGCATGCTCTGAGCTCTCTTTCGCTGCTGACTGCTTCCTCCCCGGCATGGTATCATGGTGCTGTTGGGTCATTGACATCCACGTGGCTGGGATCTTTCAATTGGGTGGTATTCCTTCATTCTGTCAATTCCCTTCATTCGTCCTGTCAATTCCCTGTCAATACCTTTTTCATTGTCAGTTATCTGATGCACGGTCCTGTGCCATGACTGTGGATCGATTTGGGACAGGGTATGCAGTCCTGTGCCATGGATTTCGGCCATCATTGCTTTGTGGATCCTGAAAACTTACTGAGGGTTTGTCCCCACTGCCTGTGTTCGATGCGAGCCTGGAGTAAAATCAAATAGCGAGGACTTTATGTCCCAAATACCTCCGCTAACTGCAAGTCGTGAATGATGTAGCATTTCTGTAAGGATAAGATAAATTGCCGAGCTAGTCCAAGCAGAGCTGATGTGACCGAACCTTACCTTTCTGCCAAAGCCTGGAATGATGTGGAATCCCTTCAGATTCATCTGTTAAAATTGGAACGGCACGCAGAAGATTAGCATGGCCCCTGCGCAAAAAATCAACGGTTCAGTCTCTCTCTCTCTCTCTCTCTCTCTCTCTCTCTCTCTCTCTCTCTCTCTCTCTCTNTCTCTCTCTCTCTCTCTCTCTCTCTCTCTCTCTCTCTCTCTCTCTCTCTCTCTCTCTCTCTCTCTCTCTCTCTCTCTCTCTCTCTCTCTCTTTCCCTATTCCTCTCCCTCTATATCCTCTCTCTATCCTCTCTATCTGTCCCTCTCTCCTGCTTGCTTGTGTGATTGCTCTCACTCAGTCTCTGACTGAATTTTTGTGTCTCTCCCACTCTCTGTCTAATTTTCCTCATTACTTGTTTATACCTTCTATTCGTCTGTACAGATGTGCACATGCATGTACACACAAACTCTGACACTTGTTGAACATATGCAAGTGATCGCAACAGAAAGGAGCTCTTAGGGCAGTCTGTCTTTCACCAGAAAATGACGTCATGTCAAAAATTTGGGCGGTGCGAACCCCTGTGATTCAGTGGAAATGGTGCCCGTGAAATCCAAGAAAACTGTGGGCCCAGTGCCCAGAGCTGACGCTGCATATGACATCTTAAAAGAATTGTACGATTCATCCTGTAGCCCAGAGCCGAAGGCTTTGCAAAAATGGTCTTCTACTTGACTGTTTGACCAGATGTTAAGGGAAAAAACCGTTTAAAAACGTCAAAAACTTGAAAAAAGCCTTCAGAGTTTAGATGGAGCAAATTTCACTAACCTAATATCAGTCACTGTAGCTTACGTCCATGGCCACACGTAAACCGCCCATACATGGCCCTAGCCTTGCAAAAACAGCAACTTCGTTGCCACCGCACTGTAGCACTGGGACTTACGGGGGCATTCCACCATATTCATCAATGGCTTAGGTTGCTTTCCGGGCCTTCCGGCCTCTGAAAGTCGCGGTGAGGGGCTCGCAGCCGGTGTATGGCTCTGTAGTGGTGGTTTAACGGCGCAAGGAGCGGAACATGTGCGCCAAACCCATGGACGTAAAGGGCAACTGCGCCATTACTGAGAACTTGAAATATCAAGCACTCGGTGATAGTGCATATGTCTGATTCTGTACCTGGTCAACTCAGACATCTTGTGAATCAGTCGGACCAGACCAGGCCGTACAAAAGGGAAAACACTAAGAAATAAGCGAAAATAAGGCAATCATCGTGTGCCTGGTCCAGTACTGCTGCATCACAAGCAATCACAGAGCACGGGCTGGCTGTGGAGACACCTTTCCATCCGCAGTCGTCACATAGTTACCAATAGGAGGCACAACACTGGAGACGAAAGATGGAAACAGCCTCAAGCAAACATAGTCAATAAATGTAGAAGGCATGTCAGCAAATGCATGACCGATCAAGCGCTGACGGAGGCATAGTGTTCACCCCAATCCCCAATTTGAAAGCTTGAACAGCCTCAAGCAAACATAGTAAGTCAGGGTGGAAGGCATGGCAGCAAACATACGGCCGATCAAGAGCCGACAAAAGCATAGTATACGCCGCTATCCCCAAGTTTAAAGCTTGAAGCAAACTCTCCTCCATCTGCAAGATAACCCTAGTGGAGCATAGCGAACCCCTCCTTCAAGTACGTCACCAGCCCATCGCTGTCCTCCGTACATCTGGTAAATCTGAGGCAGTGCATAATAGGGCCTGCACATCCCCTCAAGTGCTCTGGAGAAGATTTCCAGAAAACCACTTTAGCAAGTTACCTTTTCTCGCTCTTTTACACGTCACACATCAACGTGCAATGCAGCTTCAGGAAATGTGAGCCTCTGTGTAAGCCTAGTTTCGGGTAGAGTGGTGGTTTTGTGCGGCCTGATTTAGCCTTCTATAAATCTATATACCCCAGATGAATCTCATATCCAACGAGCTCAGGATCGCCCTGGCCTGCCGAAGCTAACCAAGGCTTTCTTTGTTTGAGTATGGCGATATAGAAATTGCAGGGAATCATTGCAGTGCATCCTATCGATTGTGCCCATCACATGCACGGGACAATCCAAACTTTGTGAACGTGAACTCGCCCTCAAAAGGAGAATGTCAATCACAAGTACAAGTGCAGGATTTTAGCAGTTTGCGATAATTTGTATTGCAATTTGCAACTTCACTTAAGATATCTGCTGGTTACATCTTCTCTCACTCCTGCTTCATTGTGCGGTTTGGATCTGATGTGTATGGTGCTCTGCAACAAACCACATGCAAAATTTCTCTCTGCTTCTCCTAACTCCTTTTGTTGTTGTTGTTGTTTTTCTTCGATTTGGCAGGAAGCCGTGGTAGGCGGCGGCTTCACTGGGAACCTCGCGTCTGCATTGCTCTTGGTGCTGCACGTGGTCTTGTAAGTGATCTCCCCTCGTGCCCTGCTTACTCTCCTGTACCGTTTGTAAGTGCACACGCAGCCTCTCCCGATTACCCTTTCTGTTGCCTTCAATTTGTGGTGATGCCCCGCTGGCTGATTTACAATTAAAAGCTTGTTCCTAACTATGAAATTCACTATGGGACCCTTGCACTCCATGTTGTGGCTTCTCTTTGACCAGATACGCACATGAGGGGTGCGCGCGCGCGCGCGAGCACACGTGCGAGAGAGAGAGAGAGAGAGAGAGAGAGAGAGAGAGAGAGAGAGAGAGAGAGAGAGAGAGAGAGAGAGAGAGAGAGAGAGAGAGAGAGA